ACTTGGAGATTCATGCGCTAATAGGCATCGCAAGCCTAACCCGCAATCGGGTGCCGCACAACCAACACAAAATAGGGATCCACAAGGTACAAGCAATCCACTAGAGTACCTTTTGGCTCTCCGCCGAGGAAAGGTCAAGAATCCCTCACAATCACCTCCCTTCGCTCGATGATCCTCGCTACACCAAGCCATCTAGGTGGTGGCCACCACCAAGAGAAACAAGTGAATCCCACAACGAAACACGAACACCAAGTGCCTCTAGATGCAATCACTCAAGCAATACACTTGGATTCACTTCCAATCTCACAAAGATGATGAATCAATGAAGGAGATGAGTGGGAGGGCTTTGGCTAAGCTCACAAGGTTGCTATGTCAATACAAATGGCCAAGAGAGTGAGCTAGAGCCGGCCATGAGACTTAAATAGAGGCCCCCTCGAAATATAGCCATTAGGCTCCTCACTGCAGCACAACGCGGGGCGATCGGACGTGCAGGTTCGCTTCACCGGACGCATAGCCCTAGTGTCCGGTCAGCGGATGACTGCCATGTGTCCCCCGCTATAAACCTGTGTCGATCGATCTCAACGGTCAACTCGATCGCGCGCTTAAGTAAATGAACAACCGGACGCAGCGCACCGAGACCGGACACACTGCGACCATGTCCGCTCACCTATTTGCCCGCGCAACCAAACCACCGATCAAACACGCTGTTAGTATGACCGGACGCACCACCAACGTGGAGTCTGGTCACTTCCAGTAAGGGTCCAGAGACACATTTCTACGACCAGACGCGTCCACTTTGCCTTGACCTGACACTGGCCAGCGTCCGGTCCTTCTCCCACTGCGCGCCAAAATCAAACGTCGCCACATCAGCACTGATCGGATGTGAGAATAGTGTTTCCCACGTGTCTGGTCCTCCTTTGCTTCCAGCGTCTGGTCACAGACCAAGAACGCACCTCCTCTATGCAACACTGACCGGACGCAGCGCAGAGTCCAGTCATGGGTCTGGTCCCACGTTCGGTCCCTGTGTAACTCCTCCTTCACTTCTCCGAACTTCACCACCCTTGCTCAAATGTACCAACCACCAAGTGTATCAACTTGTGCACGTGTGTTAGCATATTTTCACAAACATTTTCAAGGGTGTTAGCTCTCCACTAGATCTAAATGCATATGCAATAAGTTAGAGCATCTAGGGGCACTTTGATAATCGCATTTCGATACGAGTTTCACCCCTCTTAATAGTATGGCTATCTATCATAAATGTGATCACACCCACTAGGTGTCTTGATCACCAAAACAAAATGGCCCTATAGATTTCACCTTTGCCTTGAGCCCATTTATTTTTCTCTTTCTTCTTTTCCAAGCTGAGCACTTGATCACCATGGCATCCACCATTATCTTGATCATCACCATTTGCTCCACCACTTGTAATATGTGCTAACCTATCTCATGAACACTAGAGCAAGTGGGTTAGCACTTAGGGTTTTATCAATTCATCAAAATCAAACTAGAGCTTTCAAGTGGTGGGCCACGATCTCGATCGCTAGGGTCGTGGTTCCCCGCTAGTCTGGATGGCCTTTAAGTCAATGCCTTCGTCGTGGATTCCATCCCATAGTGGGTGGGGTCGTACATACATCTTATCGGACTGTATCTGGCTGGTGGGCATCGTGCCCATCGTCATCGCCCTAGGGCGGTATTGTCTTGTCCGAGCTGCGTGGTGCAGGGTTGGTGTCTGATCGGACCGAGACGACTACTGTCCCCTCGACCCTTGCAAGGTTAGTGCGGCGTACCTGTCCTTGTCAGAACATGCATACTTGGCGGGGCTCGATCTCTCCCCATCCCTTCGAGGGATGGTGACGGGGGTGAGGTCATGCGCCTCTCGAGCACCGTGCAGCTAAAGCAGGAGGAAGAGGTCATGGTCGACCCTGGTCTTAGCGTCCGGCATGGTTTACTCGGCCCAGCCAGGCCTCGGTCGTTCGGGCTTCCGCTAGCTTATGTATTACGGACCGCATGGCCTGCTGACTAATCGATACCTTAAGACACCCCGGGATTATGACCCCAACACAAGGCAACTAATGCCAAATTAGATAGCGTAAATTACTTAGCTACACAAGCTAAGCAAAGTGACTAACAAGGTTACTAAAATCAAATTAGCGACGTAAGAAAACTAATTTAGTATTAGCTCCTACAAGATACGACACACATGGCTCCACTAATCAGCCAACGCCTGTCAATCCTACAGCACTTCGTGACTTTTCTTTTCTTTTAAAAAATACTTATTTCCACACTTTCTTTTCCTAGAAAGTTACAAAATTATACACATGACTTTTACACATACTCCGTAATATTTTATAAAACATAACTTATTAGCATAACTTACCCAATATATTTTTAATAATATTATATAGATAACTTATCATGATAACTTTTCTATGTAACTTTTGAAGCCCAATTTTTGTTCATAACTATTAGCAGGCAAACTTATCCATACAATTTTTCAATATTTTCATGACTTTTTATTTTTGGAAAGATACAAAGTTAACGCACAAATTATGTGTATAACTTTTAATGTAACTTTTGAAGCCCAATTTTTGTTCATAACTATCAGCAGCAAACTTATCCATAACAATTTCTCAATATTTTCATGACTTTTTATTTTTGGAAAGTTACTAAGTTAACGCACAAATTATGTGTATAACTTTTAACATAACAACTTATCATCACATTTTGCCATCGTGTTTTTTTACTTTTCTTTGAATTTTTTTTAATTTTTTAGAAAAATACAAAGCTATGCTCAAAACTTATGTGTATAACTTTTTACGTGACAAATTATCACCATAACTTTTTATCATAACTTTTGCGGTTTTGTGGTCTTATGACTGAATTAGATCGGAAGAAGAGAAAAAGTGAAAAGAGAGAGAAAATGTTGAAAAAAATATGGTACATGACATCATATTATATGTCTACAACCAGTGTATGAATACATACATATACGATCATCTAAAATAGGTAGTACTCCCTCCGTCCACAAAAGAATGTAATTCTTGTTTTTCAAAGAGTCAAACAGTTAAACTTTGACTAAATTTACATAAAAACTACTAACATTCATGATACAAAATAAGTATCATTAGATTAGTTATAAAATATATTTTCATAATAAATTTATTTGGGGATATAAATGCTAATATTATTTATTATTAACATGGTTAAACATGAGCTAATTTGACTGATACGGTACAATTACCATAATTACCCTGTTCGGCTTACCCCATATTCGGCTTTTTTTTTTTAGCCGGAATAGTGTTTTTCTCTCACAACAATTTAGCTAGAACAGTATTTTTCAGCCAAGATTCAGCAAGCCGAACGGGGCTGGCATGAGGGAGTAACATATAAAAAATAAAATAAATAAAGAGAAAATAAAAAATAAAAAATAAAAAGGAGAAAGACGAACGCATCTGCTTCTAGATAGAACGCCAAACAAAAATAGGCCGGTTGCTGTTTGTGGGTCCACGCGCTCAGAGACGGAGCGGCGCGGAATCGTACGTCGGTCATCCACCAAATTGGATTGGGCGACACGCGGGTGCCGGAAACAGGACGAAGAAATAAACCGAAGCCCTATCTGGGTGGGCCGAATCTCAGCCCACCGTATCTACTGTTATCGAGCTTAAATACAATACGGCCCAGATCCAGCCCACCCGTCCCCGATGCTTGTAGTGGGATTGAGCCCAGCTGCATGGCGCGCGAGCGCGGCACGTGTGCGTCCGCGCACGCGGTCTCATCCGCTGACGTGCTGCCAGCCGAAAGTCCCCGCCGGGCGTGGCTGCCTGGCTCATCCGCCGGACGTCCACGCCACGAAAGCAACGGTGGCATCTTCTGCGCCTGGCTCCTGGTCCTGGAACGGACGCGCGCGTCGCTGCCGACCTGCCGTGTCGCCTAACACACGCTGTGACGCTGGCCTGGCATGGTGACATTGCCGCGCTAGTTTGAGCCAACGGTGCGTCCGCCTTTCTGATGCGGTTGACAGCCAGCGGTTAACGTTAGCCTTGGAAGGCAGAAGGCAGCTCAACTGCCGTCACGGCATTGTAATACCAGACACACAGAGATGTCACTCCTGATGCACGTAATCAGACCTTGTAATCTCCACTCTTTCATTTTTTTTTTTGTCAAGCATGTTAAATCCAGGTGAAGGCTCCAAGGTGGCTTTGCGATTGTTGTTCTATATCTCCTGTACAGTTTGTCCGCTGGTTGTGTACACGCAGTCTCGCCAAGTCGCATACTCCCTTTGTGCAGAAATAAGTGTTGTTTTTTTTTTCAAGAGCCAAATACTTTCAATTTTAAAGATATAAATGTTGTTAATATTTTCTACAAGCTAGTTAGTTTTAAGAAAGTTCAGATAATAAGATAAAAATACGGCAATCAGCGGGAAGAGGCATCCCAATTCCCAATCCGCAGCGAAAAGTACCGCAGCAGGCGGACAATATATGAAATATCCAAATGTCAAAAGGATCCGTTCGAACAAGCAACCAAAAGATTTTTCTTCACCGCTCTCTCACCTCCTACAAACGATCCCCAGTCATCGCCTACCTCCACCCTCCTGCCGTCCTTCCCCTTCGCCACGTCTCCAGGTATATAGGAGGACCTCTCCTCCACTGCCCGTCCTCTCTCCCTCTCCCCTCCCCTACAGCCTGTCCTTTTACAATCATCACGGCAGCCACTCACCATCGTCGAGAAGAAGCTAAGCTCTACTCAGGTGAGCTAGAACTAGAAGATACTCAGGTGAGCTAGAACTAGAAGAAGATTAACCAGCCAGCCAGTCAGCCGGCCGGCGAGCCCCACAGACCACGCCACCAGCCGCCTCACAAGTCCCAAGTCCCAGCCGGCAGGGATTCCTAAACTTAACCGCGCTATTATTAACCAGCCGCCTCTCAATCCGCGCGGCTTAACCGCCCTCGTGCGCACGAGAGGAAGCCACGTTTCGGAGGCGCCTGCCCAGGGCCGCCGCCATGGACGTGCTGAGGTTCGTGCGCGCCGCCGCGCCGCCGCAGCAGCCTCTGGTGGCGCCGGCCTCGGTGCCGCCCCCGTCGGCGGCGGCGATGTCGGCGCAGCGCCAGCGGCAGCCTCTGCACCAGCCGCAGCGCGCCGCGCTGCACGCGCCGCTGCTGCGCATGTGGCCGTGTGGCGGGGGAGACAGACCGCCGCCCCCGGCCGGCGCCTCCGTTCGCGGCGCGGAGCCGAGGAGTCCTCCGCCCGATGAGGAGCGGAAGGCGGAGGGGGACGAGCGGAGGCAGGGCGGCAACTGGGTGCTGCAGATGCTGCGGGTGCAACCGCGGTGGGTGGAGGCGGCGGACGCGGAGGCCACCGGCGGCGGCAGCGGCGGCCAGGAACCGGAGGAGGAACCGAAGGCGGCGGCTACTGAGGCTGCGGCTCCCGCAGGTGGCCTCGAGGAGTGCGCCTCCTGCGGCGGCAACGGCGGCGGCGGGGAAAACGACGAAGGCTGCGCCGTGGGGTACGACGACGAGGAGGTGTTCGACCGCGCGTCGTTCTCGCGGCTGCTGCGGAAGGCGTCGCTCCGGGAGGCTAAGGAGTACTCCATGATGTCCTACCTCTGCAACATCGCCTATATGATCCCCAGAATTCAGGTACCATCACCATCGTCATGGCTAGTACTGCTACTCTTTCTCTCTCACGCGTCAATCGCAGTTCGTCCTCGCTGAATTTGGCCTAAATTGCTTTCGGTTAATGCTCATGAGCATTTGATTGTGCCAGCCATGTGCCGTGCTCTTGTTCATGCCCTATATTTTCACATTTCAGCGTCAATGCAAGTGCCGGGTGGTGGTGTTTTCTAGGAATGTTCAAGCTAAATTTGGTCTACTTTGGATTTTACTGTCTACTTTTATTTTCCAGTGTTATTTTTCAATAACTATTCTTGAATTAGTCCAAGTCCATCCTTGAGTTCTGCTTGTCTTTGCCAATTGGTTAAGCGCCTAGCTTGAACTGTTTTTCCGGCTTATGGATATATCGTTATTTCTGAACCAGAGTTTCTTATACTGATCTAATGTAACTGAAATGCGGTTGCAAATATCCTTTTCCACTGCCTAACTTAGGAATCCTTTGCTTTCATGCCTCCCATCTCAGCCAAAATGTCTTCGGAGATACAATTTGCGGTTTGTGACATCGTCAATGCAAGACATGGCCGGAACTAACCCTGATCAGAAGCAGGAGCTTAGCACTAAGAAAGATGAATCTGGGGATCAAGCACCTGAAGCTGTCGACAGTGCGGTGCCAGCTAGCCAGGGGGAAAGAAGTGGCCTAGGGATTAACCCCTTTGGTGCATACCATGTAGTGTCTTCCGCTGCCGCTTATTTGCATTCCCGGGCCATGGGCATTATGCCATTTGGTCCTGGGAATGATGTCAAGGATGATCCGACCATCATGGCATTCGTGAGTGGCGAGAGCAGTGACGGGTTGAGCTTGAACGAAGCCTCATTCGTGGCCACAACAAATTCGGTAACCTCCATGGTTGCCGCCAAGGAAGAGACACGGCAAGCCGTTGCAGATGATCTGAATTCTTCAAGATCTTGTCCTTGCCAGTGGTTCGTCTGTGATGATGATCAAAACAGCACAAGATACTTTGTGGTTCAGGTATTGCTTATATATGCCCAAATTATCATGGTGATTCATTTATAGTTTCTGTTCTTCGGGCTTCTTAATCCAATTTTGTGCCATTGTGGTTATTTGCTTTTGTGACCCGCAGGGCTCAGAATCAATTGCTTCTTGGCAGGCCAACCTTTTATTTGAACCTGTCAAATTTGAGGTTTGATGACACTACTAGCTGTTGCTAAAAAATTCAGTTCCAGGAGTTGGTAGTATATACGACCAGGTAGATGTTTATGTAACCTCTCTACATTTCTGATGCGGCGCTGCAGGAACTCGATGTGCTCGTTCACAGGGGCATATACGAAGCTGCCAAGGGGATGTATCACCAGATGCTACCCTACGTGAAAGCCCACTTGAAGAGCTGTGGTAGATCCGCACGGCTGCGGTTCACTGGGCACTCCCTCGGCGGGAGCCTGGCTCTGCTTGTGAACCTGATGCTGCTGATGCGAGGGGAGGCGCCTGCATCGTCGCTGCTGCCCGTGATAACGTTCGGCGCGCCATGCATCATGTGCGGCGGCGACCACCTGCTCCGCCGGCTCGGGTTGCCGCGGAGCCACGTGCAGTCGATCACGATGCACCGGGACATAGTGCCCCGGGTGTTCTCCTGCCACTACCCTGACCATGTCGCCAACGTCCTGAAGCTTGCCAACGGGAATTTCCGCAGCCACCCGTGCCTCACAAACCAGGTAGGTCTTGGTTGTCTGGAGGTCGAGGTCCTTCCTTCAGCAAGAATGGCTTGCAGGTGTATACGACGCCAGCGATCTCCTGACATCGTGAATCCAATCCATTGCATGAATGCAGAAACTCCTGTACGCGCCGATGGGGGAGGTGCTGATCCTGCAGCCGGACGAGCGGCTCTCCCCGCACCACCACCTGCTCCCGCCGGACAGCGGCATCTACCACCTGGCCGGCGGCGGGGCGTCGGCGTCGTCGGCGTCGGCGTCCGGCGACGACGGCTTGCTGTCGCAGCAGCTCCGGTCCGCGCTGTCGGCCTTCTTCAACTCGCCGCACCCGCTGGAGATCCTCAAGGACGGCGCCGCGTACGGTCCCCGGGGCTCCGTGTACCGCGACCACGACGTGAACTCGTACCTCCGGTCCGTGCGCGCCGTGGTCCGCAAGGAGGCCCGGCGCGCGCGGGAGGCGGAGGTCGAGCGGGGGCGGTGGCGCCTGCTCCTGTGGTGGCCGTTCGGCGTCCACGGCGTGTCGTCGTCGTCGTCGGGCTCCTCGGGGCGGCGGCGCGGGGGCGGGGGCCTCGTGGACGCCGTTGGCGAGGCGGCCAGGCGCGCACACCTGCTGGTGGTGGTGCTGCTCCCCGCGGAGCTGCTCGCGCTCGGCGCGCTCCTGGCCGTTATTAGATTCAGGTGATAGATAGATAGGCTCACGTCTCCGTCCGTTGCATTCGTTCGTACGCCGCCGACACACGATTCTTTTGTACCAAAAACACACACACGTCTGCAAAGCAAAGGCGTCAAGCGCAGCTGCGTCGCATGTAAAGATGAACTTGAAGGAAAAATAGAAACCTTGAATTCTTTAGTTCCGACTTCGGAGGAATAGTCATGCCGGGACCAAGTTATCTGAAGAGGAGAAGCTAATAACTGTCAACATTGATTTATCTGAGTAGTTAAAAACGGAGAAGCTCCAATAAGCTCTCAACCTGACCTCTGAGGTTGGCTTCCCTTCGAGTAGTCGAAACGGGCTCTACTCTGGGGGTGGGCTGACCCAGACCCCTTAGGTTTGCGCTCCTCGCCTTGCCACCCGAGGCCTGGGCTCGACCACCCGACCCTTGGGTTGGGCCCCGCCGCCCGACATCCGCGGCCCGCTTGGAGACCTCCTGGGCGGGCTCCTCCTCACCCGACCTCTAAGGGCGCCCGCCTCGCCAACCCGAGGCCGGGATCCATCTCGCCTGACGGAGACCCATATCACCGCCAACCACCTGGTCCAAGTGGATAGGCTTGGGTCAAAGCTCGTCAGAGAGGTGGCAAGACGCCCGATATAAGGTGACGGGTTGCGCATCGAGGAACAACGCCGGGTGTCGATGTTGACCTCGATTCACCATCGAGTGGAGTGGAGCCGACAGTATCGACAAGACGTCACAAGAGCGGTGGCGCGGGCTCCACCTCGCCTGGTGGAGCGGAGACACCGGGTGTCCCTATTGGCGCTGGCTCCAAAGCTCCCGCGTGAAGAAAAAAGACCCGACCTTCTCATTCTCCTCTTTTCCTCGCTCGTAACACGTGCTTTCCTTGGACTATAAAATGGAAAGAGGCGTCCCATAAGAGGCATCGCACACACGCGATCCGGACCGAACCCGACCTCTAGAGGAACACACAAGCACATAGCCGGAAGCGACCGAGCTCCAGACCCGGCCTCTCATCATAGACTTAAGACATGTTCTTCGCCCGCTACTATAAATTTTCGGTGCGACCAGCCCGACAAAGAAGTGGACGTAAGGATATTCTATCCGAATCAGTATGAACCTCGTATCTTCTTAGCAAATTATCCGAGCAGACGCGTAATATTAGAAATTTAGACAACTCGCTGACGAGTCAACCAACTCTGTCTGATCCAAGTGGATGGACGTTGCCGGTCAGAAGCGACAGGCCGGCGCGCGCGAGAGGCGCAAAGGCAGCGGTGCCCCCGCGCGATCTGCTGGAGCGCCGGATACGACGGCGCGCGGACGTGACATGCCGATCCCATCCCATCCAACGTGTCTTGCTCGATTTTGCGTGGCGCTCGTCGCCTCGGGCCGGGTCATACGCGCGGGGTAGACGACACATCAGGTAACGGGAACGGTCGGCGAGCAAACCTGCACAGGATTGTTGTCGCGTCTCGTCTCGTCCAACTGCGAGGGTTCAAAGTTCAAACCTGAAACGGAAATGGTGACTTTTTCCCATCCCGAAATGCAAATCTCGCCACGACCGCCCTGGTTGCCAATATGCCATTCTTGTTTTGCTTAGCTTGCTTCGTTTGGCATTTTCGCTCGGAACGGATGGCCTACGAGACGAGAGGAAGCAGGTAAGAGGCTGCACTGGCCGTTCGACGGCCGCAAGAGTCGCTCTCTCCCGGGTCTCCGACAGAGGGAAAGTTTCGGATAGGAACTCCACCCCAAAAAATCCAATGCCACGTCATTTTTATTTATGTATTATATTATCCAGTTTCCACCCATTTTTTGTTCCTGTGCCAAAAGTGTTCTTACCTGTTAAGTTGTCATGAGCGTTCAGAGGATGTAGGCTGCTTCATTTCAACGCAAACGCAACATAAAAGTAATGCAACCTTCACCAACATGTTTTAGTATCATTTATACAGTACGTACTACCTCAGTCACAGATGCTGGAATCTGCAGTCAATTACCACAGCCAGCAGGTATAATTTTAGAAACCGCGCTCACCACCATCAGCGAGGAAAATCCACCAAAGGGCGATCTGTCTCCTGTCGTGATTCTTTTCGTTTTTTCAGAAACTCCACAGACCCCAACATATCTAGGCTTTCCCTACAAGCTTTGTCTATAAAATAAAAAAGCAGGCTGCATGTTCTCCATAGTTACGACCAGACTTGGATTTCAACCAGTGCCAGAGAGCGACGGCGCTTGATGGGTAGACGACGCTGGAGGTGAGCCAGGTACACCGGGAACCGGTCGGCGAGCCAAACCTGCACGGGATTCGTACCTCGTCGCGTCTCGTCTCAACTGCGAGGGTTCAAAGTTCAAACCTGAAACGGAAATGGTGACTTTTTCCCATCCCGAAATGCAAATCTCGCCACGACCGCCCTGGTTGCCAATATGCCATTCTTGTTTTGCTTAGCTTGCTTCAGTTTGGCATTTTCGCTCGGAACGGATGGCCTCAAGAGACGATTGAGGAAGCAGGTGAAGAAGGCTGCACTGGCCGTTCGACGTTGCCGCAAGAGTCGTCTCTCCCGGGTCTCCGACAGATAAAATTGGAAAGTTTCGGATAGGAACTCCACCCCAAAAAATCCAATGCCACGTCATTTTTATTTATTTATTATATTATCCAGTTTCCACCCATTTTTTGTTCCTGTGCCAAAAGTGTTCTTACCTGTTAAGTTGTCATGAGCGTTCAGACTGATGTAGGCTGCTTCATTTCAACGCAAACGCAACATAAAAGTAATGCAACCTTCACCAGCATGTTTTAGTATCATTTATACAGTACGTACTACCTCAGTCACAGATGCAAGGTTTGGAATCTGCAGATACACAATTACCACAGCCAGCAGGTATAATTTTAGAAACCGCAAGCTCACCACCATCAGCGACAAAAATCCACCAAAGCTGCTACGAACAATGCACTGTTTCATGTAACGTGATTACAAAATCGCATTTTTTTTAACCGTTTAGACCACCCAGAAGCCAGAAACAATCAGAAGAGAAAGCAGACCCCATCACATATCTAGGATTAACACCAACTTACAAGCTTTGCCTATCACTAGCTACCATAAAACCTTTCATGCAGCTGCCATGTTCTCCATAGTTACGACCAGACTTGGATTTCAACCGCCTGCGAACCAGCAGCAGTGCCATGGACAAAGAGGACAACGGCGCCTCACTTGATGTACTGAGGCATCCATTTGAAGCCTTCACCATAGCAGCCCATCTTGCGCACCACACTGCACATGAAGATCTCCAGGGGCCGAACGTTGGAGTCAGCCAAGTTCACGTTGCCCTTCCCGGTTGTGAAGTTGCTCAGGCCAAGGTAGTACCGCAGCTCCTCCTCTGAAGCCGCGTAGGGGATGTCAATCTTATTGCCCAGTATGAGGAAAGGAACGTTTGCAAGGGAGTCATCTGCAAGAAGTGCATCAAGTTCTTTCTTTGACTCGGCAAACCTTTCCTTGTCAACAGCGTCCACCAAGTACACAACAGCATCAACCTACAACAGGCAAAAATTTAGAACAGCCAACCAAACCATATGCCAAAACATTAAAACTGTGAAGCATAGAACTCATCAGGTTCAGTTACAACTCACAGTTAATTGTTAAAACTGTGGAGCATAGAACTCATCAAGTTCAGTTACAATTTATAGTTAATTGTTAAAACTGTGGACCATAGAATTCATCAAGCAGTGACTGAACTTAGGCCCAAGTATTCCATGCCTAGTGCAAAACATACATTTTTTCCTGACCACAAGTTGCACAAGAAACTGAATCCATGTGGTTCAAACATGAGCGTCCCAAAAAGATAAACAGAAGGCTCAAGAAACTCATGTTTGACAACATGCAGCAGCGGCATGTAAGATCTTTTGAAATGCAGTGGGGTGGAAAATAAGATGCAAAGGTATGGTGATCAGTTCTCAGCTTGCGGAAGAGACCCATAGCTGTTAATGACGTTGGGGAAGATTAATTGACATGAATAATGAGTATACAAATTCAAGTTTTGAATTATTTCCAGACGAATTTACATGTTCCCTCCATGCATTCACTTCCCTTGTAGCCAAATAGTGAAATACAATTGGTCACTAAACTAGATCATTCTGTTGTTCCCACCATTCTAGAACCGCACGACGCACCAAGTCAAGGATTCCTCCCTCTAGTTTTCCAACTCAAATAGACCATGGATCAGTGTGTGAGAGCTTTGCACTCCAAGCACTTAGACTTCCCACATTGCCACCATATATAACACAAAAAAATGTGACCATAACCTGTTTACCACTAGCAGACTCTACCTCTACTTTCTAGGCCACAGTCCCCAACAAAACTACACCCCAGCATAGGTAATGGGCTGCAGGGCCTCTATCCAAGGGCACTGGCCACCACTTCCAATGTGGACTCTGTTCCTCCCAAGGTTGACAACTTGGAGGTGAGGCAGCCAGGAAATATTTTTATATTGGGCTCTGCTTAGCTAAAAGCATTGGAAAGGACATCTATCTTGTTCTAACATTTCTAGGTCAGCTGGTGTTTCTAAATTTGAGAACCTCAGGCGAACTCAAGTGTTTTCAGCAAGGCTCATCCAAGAACAGTACAAAGCATCAAGCCATCAAGTCGAGGATTTTCATTAAAATCTTTTCTAGTTTCTTTTAGCAAAAATTGACCAAGAACCAGTGTATCTGAAGAGCTTTGCACCCATAGCACTCAGACTTCCCACACTGCCAAATTACCACAAAATTGTGACATTATCCTGTATATCAACTATCACACATTATCATTAGTGGTAATTTGGTCAAGTGGGAATCCTGAGTCGTACATTTGGAAAGCTCTCCGAACACAGTGATACTTGGACAATTTTTCCATATTTTTTATTTCAAATCGTGCTTCAATGAATAAAAAACATATAAGAATCGAAAAGGACATTTGTCCCCCATTCTAGGTCCAATGGGGTTATACGAAAAACCGACAAGTGAACTCAGGATTTTTCAGAGACTCATTGAAGACCAGTACAAACTACAAAGCATGAAGTGTTAGAGCTGCCCAAGTGTATATACGGAAATCAAACTAATCACATAAATTGAGTGGGGCACGTTGGAGCAGTCAAATTCTAAGTGTAAGAGACAAAAATGAACTGCAAAGATGAGTTGAGCATGAGCTACCCAGCTGATTAAAATATTTCATGCACAGGACCAGGCATGGGTGTCAGGCATGTGAATCTCCATACCTCCACCTGCCTAGCAAATGAGAACCTCACAATTTTTATCATTTTGAAGAATGACCAAATGCAGCACTAGAACTCTGGAACCAGACTCATGTCAATGTCTTTTCAATACAAAATCAAACAAACAGTAGTGCTGCTCTTCAAATCCTAAAATTTCCATTAGAAAAAGTAGACCAGGAATCAGTGTCTAGATAAAACTGCACTTATACTCTTATAGAGCTCAAATTACCACAAAACTTTGGTATTAACCTGTTCGCCACTAGTTGGTGGTTTTACCCTCCCATCTTCTGCCACAGCCAGACTCAAGACTAAACCATTAATCTAGCAAGGCACTGACCAGAGGTTTGATGCTTGCCGGCAAAGATGGAGGAGCTAAATTGCCCAATAGTTGTAAGTTGAAGTCTTATTAGTGGTAACTTGGTCAAGTGCGAAGCATGAGCTATACATTTGAAAAACTCTTCAAACACAGTGATGCATGAAAATATTTTCCACAATCTTATTTCATACCATATTTTGACAAAATAATAAAGAACAGAGACAAAGGACATCTGTCATGCTCCAAGCACTCCAGGTCAGATGGCGTTTTTAAATATATGTAAAACATGCAGGTAAACTCAGGTGTTTTCAGCAAGTCTCATTCAAAGAACAGAACAGATTAAAAAATCTGAGCATTCTTTTTGAAGCCTAGTAGCCTTTCATTTTAAGATAAGAAAAATGACAACAGGACAAGTGTGTCTGGAGAACTTTACACTCATAGACTTAGACTTCCCACATTACTGAATTACCACAAAAAATTGTGACCTGAACCTGTTTAGCACCAGCGGACAACTTTTCCTACCCATCTTCAGCCATGGCAAGTCTCCACTGCTCCAGCTGGAGCAGGGTGCTGACAAGAGTTTGATGCTTGCCAGCGAAGATGGAAGGAGCAAAACTGCACAATAGTTGTAAACAGGCACCTCATAGTCTTACTAGCAGTAACTCGGTCAACCGTGAAGCATGAGTTGTACATTTATAATGCTCTCTAAGCACAATGATTCATGGATAATTTTCCCATATTTTTGTTGAAGCTGTGTTCTGTCGTCAAAATAAAGAATAGCATAAAAAATTGAAAGCCCTAGGCATAAGTCCGAAAGTTTGTTCTGCTCTGGTTAGGCATCACCCTTGCTAGGAAATACCAACTAGTTCCACTTGCACATGTGGATTGTGTAATCTTCTTGTATACAGAGATTGTACAAACCTCACTGAACGTTTGATGGTGAAGAATCAATGGCACTACTAGGTAGCCCCACTAAAATTACAGTGGGCCATTGTAAACGGGCAGCTAATATGAATGTCAGAGCTCAAATAACAGCATAACAGGGATGTTCTAATATCTCTAGGAATCACATCATGATCAGGTGGCCAAAATCAAGACCCAGTGGGTCAGTCATCCTTGGTTGCTTGAGGAGGCTATCTTAACAAGATCATAGCTCTGGGTATGCTGTAACCGTCTACAAATTTTCTGCTTGTCCTACAGCACCTGGACCTTACCAGTTTGGCTATTCAGATGCAGCATGCCTAACCCCAGGTTCTACTTATATATATCTAAAACCCTATTACCTCTGTCTCCACCACAATTCCAACACGAAACCAACACAAAAACAGTACATGGAAGCACTCCAACAGTAATAAGCAAAGAAATTCAGATGACGTTTAACCCGAGATACCATGTACCACTAAAATCCTACTGTCTCCGTCCCAACCCAAATTCCAACACCAAATCACACAAAAACTGTGCCGGGACGCCCTCTAACAATAATAATAGACAAAGAAGCGAGCAGCAGAAGGTAGAAGAGGGCGACCTTGGCGTAGTAGTCCTTCCAGACGCGGCGGTGAACTTGATCCTGCCGATGCTCAGCTCTTCTGACGTGGGGTACTGCGTCGGCTGGTGCTGCACGAGCCGCTGCGATGAACCCAATCGAACCAGATCAGGAATCCCCGTTAAGTCGAAAGCACATAAGAAGACTGGAATTCGCAAGGAAAAAGGGGACGGATCAGACGGCGACGCCTGTCTCCTTAGAACCAGTCCACCAGGAGGCCGAGGAAGAGGATCTTCGCCTCATTCTGCCACAGCCCAAGCGACGCCAGCACCCCATAGAACCAGTCCACCAGGAACATCTCTGCAACTGCGGCGATCTCCTCTTCCTCTTCGCACTCCGCAGCAGATCAGACGGCGACGCCTGTCTCTTGCCTTTGTCCCTTCCCCTCTCTCCGGCTTTCGACGGGAAGAATATTTCTTCCCCTCTTCTTCTCCTTGTGCCCTGCGTGCTGTATTCTAGTAGATTATTCGGTGGCGTCTACGGCCCGTTCGCTTCTTTATAATCCGTGTCTTTTTCAGATTTTTTTTATTTAAATAACATTTTTTTTTTCAATAAATTAGTTAAAACAGTATTTTATCTTCTTTTTTCAGAGAAACGAAGGGAGCCTACTTGCTGTAGAACACCTTGTACAAGTTGTACTCCTTTACCGTCAGATCAGATCACGCGGTCCTTACGCTTGCGGATTAAGAAAACTACGGCTGAGAACATATAATAAAAAAATGCTAAAAACTCATCTAATATTTTTCTATGAAAACAAAAACCTTTATACGGCTGAGCGTTAATAGTCACATCTAAAAGCTTCAATGGTTAGTACAGTGTTAGTTTTTGCAATTAGCCGCTACTTGTTTTTGCTCACCCTCCGTTACTGCTCGTGACCCAAAACTTGATAAGTTTTTACCCTATTATTAGTGTATGGGATGGGTTAATTTACAGCGTGTGTGGTTAGACAAACCACCATCATCTGGCATGGGTCCATGCGACATGAGGTGGTCCGATGATTTTTGCTGGATGACTTGGTTCCACATATTGACCTGCTATTATTGTTAAGTAGATGACGGACGACCTAAACTGGCAAGCCAAATCAAACGACGCCATAGGCTCCCATATAGGTTTAGATGGTCGGACCGACATTTCCTACTGCAAACCAAACAGGCGGTTAGTTATTCATATGTATGTTAGGGCATGTTTAGTTCATCCAAAATACCAACTTTGACACTATGTAAAAAGAAGATTGCTCATTTCAAACTTTCGGCAGTATATGTATGGAGGGTGAAATAAAAAACTTAGGTAATCTTGTAGCTCTGGTGTTTCGCGAAATCAGTCGGCGCCAACTTGGTGACCAACTAAACGTGGCCTTAATAGGCAAAATTTCTTACCCTGTTGGGTTCTTAGGTACGGAGTATGGTTTTACACTACTTGAACAAAAAAAACGGAATTGCTCGTCAACCGGATGTTTTTGGCTTCTTGCAACAACCGAATTCTGAACCATTGAATTTGACACGTGTCGCGTGGCTGCGACTTGCATTGGCAGGATTCCTTCTCTGCTGCGACGTGCAAGGATTCCTTCTCTGCGACGTGATGGACTCCCTAGGATCCTCTGCGACAAGATTATGCAACATGATGGAGCAGCATGGCTATGAGTGTGGCACCAGGGCGCAGAGGATCCGTGCGACCTGAGGGTAGCAGTGGGTGTGGCAGTAGGGGCTAGTTCGGCTTGTATATCTGATACTAGTATTTGACATTTGTGAACAATTTTACATATATTTCTTTGATATCTGCGATCCATAGAAATAATTTGTAAATTTTTTTGAAAAATTTGACATATATGTTTCTAAGATCTTCAATTCATAAAATACCGAAATTACATCACTCTATTTAATAAATTACATTGAAGAAATTATTATAAAATATAGTAATAAGACGGTGTAAATATAGTTATAAGACATTATAAGTACACGAGTAAAATCTTGTTACTGGGAGAGGTCAAAACGACTGGATGTTTGCCGGACAGATTCCAAAATTAAACCATGTGTATGTATATATGCAACTATAATTCAAAGCCATTCCCCAACCTAATATGTCTCAAAACGTGATCCAGCTAGCACATCTAGTGTCATATATATCATTTTTTCTGTTGCATTGTTCTATTATTTGCTCACATAGCCATAGTTTAACGCATGTGTTATTTTTTTCTGCAATCTGTGGTATCCGGTACCGCATATGTGGGTTCCTTCGCGGGTAAACTTTTTTTTGAATGGTATAGGTACGGGTAGGCGATACCTATCAGGTATAAACCTTTTGTCATCCAGTACTGGTTCAGGTAAATTATCGGTAGAGCAAAAAAACTGTTCATCGAAATGCATTGGATCATGAAACTACTAGTTAGGATTTTATACTCGTGAAATAATATATCATTATGATCACATTAACAAACTTGATACCCGTACTCTGCCCGTCTCGTTGCAAGTAGAGGTGGTATTTATAGCTTATGTGACTCTTTGCTTGTTTACCCCCAAACACACATACACACCTCATTATACATTCCGAGGGCACGATGCCAAAATACTTTAGAGCCATTCCCTCGGCCTGGGTCCGCTCCTCCCCTAAGGCTATCTCCAACAATAACAACATCAAAAATATAAGACTCATTCGTCCTTTGGGTAGCGCTACAGGCAAAAGGTTCAATACATATTCGGCATCTTCTCCAACAACAAAACCTAAAAGAGAATCATTTCTGTAAATGGGTTTCCAGGAGAGAGGATGTTCATATTTGGATTGTACCTCTCAGACAACCCTGTTGGAGGCTGATTTTGGATCTCTTGCTACCCATTTTAGGTTTGAATGCCTATATGGACTCCTTGTTGAAGACAGTCTAGCAACTAATGATCCATTTTGATGTCAAGGATACGCCATTCCATACACTTTTGCTTTAGCAGACGTGGTACTCTCATCATCCCCACTACCTCAGTGGACCCACACAATCTCAAGAACAATGCACCCTTGCCTAGCCAGTTCCACGTAAGACTGTCCACGGCGTAGCGATGCTGAAAAAAAATTATACCTGACACCGGGCACCGATGCTTGAACTCTTCAATCCCCACAGTGTCGGCACCGATGCTTGCATGTGCGCGGACCCCGACCATAGTACCATCTCCTTCCTTTCTCGATGCTTGTCTGTGCCTGAGATATAATTTTTTAACCTTCCAAGCAGCGGGGATCGTCCTATTTGTTTGGGCTCGTTTCACTGGTAAGCAATGGCTGAAAGTACTGTTGACTGATTTGGTGTGAGAGAAAAATATTATTTGTTGACTGAAAAAGTATGGAAACCAAACAAGCCCAAACGAATGTGATGCTGCATGCTTCGGGCCACGTGATTTGGAAGCAAGCATCGGCAGCCACAATGTTTTCTACCCGATGCCTGGCGCACTCTCTCTCTCTCTCTCTCTCTCTCTCTTCGTTCAGGCATCGGCCAAACACCACATTGTGGCTAGTCTAACAGTCTTTCAATGAGATAAGCTTCGTTGGTAGGGCGCTCCATCTTAATCCCTGATCCTGCCATCAGGTCCTCCATTCAGAGGGCCATCTACTCATTGGCCTTCAGACTCTTGTATAACCTCCAAAGGCTCGTAAGACTCCTAGATTCCTCCTCTTCACGGCAGCACTTTTCAGGACTTAGATGTCGGTTGGTTCGGGCCTTTTGGGTCGTAATTGATTCCCTTGCTTTGCGTTTGGTTAGGCTGGTGTACAATTGATTACACATAATTGGATACCTTCCCATTCAATTTTATAGATCACGGTGGTTTGCGTTTACAACCTTGCTCCTAAGGCTAAGCCCAACGCACCAGCATGCCTAGAGCTTCTGCAAAGCCACGTGGGCTCAGATGCATTTGGAGAGAAGAAGCAATATGGTGGCCTGTTTTGCAAGAGATCAGTGTGACCTGCAAAAGCAATGTTGCCTTCACCTGGTAAAAAGAGAAGCACACCATAGCATAGCGATGGAGCAAAAAAGGCGTTGGCTTGAATTAAAAAGCAAAGGTCTCAAGAGAGAATTAGTAGGTCAAATTAAGAACGAAAACGACGTGCATGAAGTTATAGATAATGGGAGCGGGTAAAAACATAGAAAAAATAAGCTGCATTATAAAATTAGTTGGTAGTGAATCTTTTTATCAATAATACTACATTCTGAACTACATTGGTCGTGCACTAAGCCCCTGACCAAACACTCAAACGGCACCTTAATTACTTGGTAGTTTTTTTTAGCAAATTAATTGCTTGGTAGTTGGTACACCCTTCCGAGCGGCTCATCGATGAGCGCCTTTTCAGTGTTCGCCTCTTGCGTCTTGTGTGGGCTTGCGTTTCGAAGCCCCTGGAATGTTGTTAGCGACCCAACAGGGCTCAAGATAGTGGCGTACTGGCGTGCCACTGCTGGCAGGGCTTGGCAACAACCAAACCAAAGCAATGCTTTGACATTTTAGCTGAACTATGGCAGGACAATCTATCTATGTATTGAAACTTAAAAGAGGACCTGAAGCCCTTAATCGGGGGTCCTTTGAGGTCAGTTTGTCTCCCTTGTCTGGCTTGCTTGCCTCTCCTCACCGAGCAAGGTTAACCTTGCCAAGGCAGGAGAGCCAATTTAGCTCACCCAAGCTATCAAGTAGAATCCTTGCTTTCACAGACAACGAGGTAGTGCAGTGGGCAGAGGATCCAAATGCATCAATTATTACAACTCCTTGCCCGTCTAGGCAAGGCGGGGTCGGCAGGGAATCCAAGCACGCCATAGTATTTGAGGTGGGAGAACCCCCGGTACATCCGTGCATATATCACGATGCCACAGAAATTGCAGGTCCTTTACTCACTCGCAAAACGTGGCTGCATTTCTAGCATGAAGAACACAAGTTATATATAAAAACGGCAAAAATGGGTCTCGAGCAAAAACTATGTATTGCTTTACATGCATGAAGAAATATATAGCTTACATCATTCGAGCTAAACCTGAGAAAACCTCAGGGGACACACTTTATGGACACTATTACCCCCTATCGCAAACATGAACAGGATAACTAGGGTAGTATCTGAAAGAGATCTCCATCTGAAAGTTAACCACACCTAACCTTAAACCTATCCTGTCCTTTTTCCAACAAATGACAATAATATCCTAACAGCATCCACATACAAATAAGTCAGTGTGATTACAAAGTTTACAGAAAAATGCTTATGAAATACAATCTATCTTTGGATTTGGTCCGCAGCAGGGTTACTAGCAGCCGACGAAGCTGGTGTCTTGCCGTTGGGGATGCCATTGTCTGCCGGAGCGGGCGTTCCCCATTTCCCTTCGGATTCCGATGGCTCCAGCACTTTAACAGACCCATCTGACAGCCCGACCGCAAATTGGTTTGGCTCGTGGGGATGTGCGGCGATGACAAGAGGGTGAACAGGTGGATTGCTGGAATCATGAAACAGACATTTCTTAGGTTCCTGATGCTATATATGTAAGGATCAAATGGCACTATGGCAATCTATGTTGTAATATGAGCGGGCACTCAAGCGTAGAAGCATGTCTAGAAGTTCATTATCCAATATTTTCTGAATTTGCCATAATGCACCCACAATACAAGGATTGATGATTGATCAGCAGTCCCAGAGGCAGGATAGCACCCCAGCTGCCTGAAGCCCTGAATCAGCTCAATGGTACTACGGATACCTGAGAGTTGATCTATGTACGTCAACAATTGCCCCGCAAGTTTAACACAGCAATATCAGAACAGTAATGGTAACCTATGAAGACTTCAACCACCAACAAAATCAATAATATACATTGATGCTCAATTACTGATCTAATTAACTCTCAGAACTGATTAATCACTAAGCCAAACCACATAGAAGCAAGAACCCATAAAAAACTTGGCTAAAGGATCATTTAGCATCCCACCTCTCTTTTATTTTAAATAAAAAGGCTCGCACAAACTATAATGTAATGGTTGAAATTGAGAATTTGCATTGGAATCACACCTCAAATGCTAACAAGTGAACAGAAAATGCACTGGCCCATCCAAATCCTCATATGGTCTTTAGCTAAATAATATGTATCCAATGTACAAGGAGGGTACCTGTTTATCACCAATGGCGCAATTCGACATCTTAATCTCAAGTTCTCCGCATCAAAAACACCTATGTTACCATCAGTGAAGGCAGCAAAAACTAGCTGGCTGTTACATGAGTATGATGCATGCGATATGGAAGCTGACAATGTGTCCTGGGGTATCCACTGAAACAAGAGAAACATATTTAATAGGCAATCAGGCAATGACAAAATAGTACTTTTTGATCAAGTATATGATGTGCAACCTGATAGATCCTCTCCATTTTTGATGCATCATATATGGCTAGTTGAGTCTCATGTACTACTAGCAAGTGACTTTGGTCAGAACTAAACTGGACCCGTGTATCTCCTGAAGGAGTCTTTCCAGCTGGCATTTGTATCGAGACTGTTCTCTTTTTTTCCCAGGTGTCATTGGTCCACACACAGAGCTAAATAGATCAAAGTCAGTGACTGCTTCATTGGTGCAAGTAAATTCAGAGAGAAAAACAAGAGAGGTAGGGAAGGAGATGAGGGTTGTCGAAAACATGGTTATCTTGGGACACAAACAAGAAATTCATTATTAATAGTAACCTGTGCATCGGCGCCTGAAGAAACAAGTACACCAAGGTTGGTGGAGAATGCCAACCCAGTTATCCTCTTTTGATGTCCTTTGAGTCTAGTTTTTACCTGACAACCCAAAGGTCAGAAGGCTGAATTAAATTATTCAGTATCATAAACTGCATCAGAGATTAGGCATTTATTACCTCATCTACCCTGACATTGTATATGTGGATGGTTGAATCTTCCATTCCTATTGCTATGATGTTATTGTCTTGAGGGTGAAATGCTAAAAATGTTGATGCTGGTGGAGGTGGCATGAATGTTGTCATCACCTGCATGAAGGATGCATGATTAAATCTTCTTGAAGTCTGAAGATTTCATCAGAATAAAATAGTTAAGACATTACCTTAAATGTCATCATGTTAAATAAAGAAACCTTCCCACCACAAGCAGACATCACATAGGAATCATTCTTTGAGAGTGCAATGCATGGGACTGCCTCCTCTGGGTTGGTATCTGCTGTATCATTTGTCATGACAAGACCGCTATTTGGCTGCCAATGGTGTGGCACAACACTGGCTGTGGCCTGCTTAGGACAGGAAAAATTACAACATAACCTTGATTGTCCTAAAATACAAAAGACCAACAGAAAAGTAAAACATACTTTTCCACTCGGATTTTGTTCATTTCGACTCCATTTCCATAGCCTTTGAATGGCATTAGACCCTAGTGCTAGCAACCCAACACCAGAATTTGTGTACAGAAGTCGGACAACCTGTACACAAAAGATGTTAAACCCACACATATTCCATGATGACAAGTGTGAAACATACATCAAGAAAATCCAACCTTTCTGGTCTGGTCAGGAGTTTCTGGCATTGTTGCTACACGGCATTGCTGGGGACTTAGGACCTCCATTAGTTCCCAAGGTTTTGCTTTATCAGGCTTCTCTTCTGAGATTCTTGGCTTTATATCTATGCTTCTTGATGCTGTATCCCCACCATTCTATTCAAATTTATCATCAAGTCAGATGTTATTTCAATTATTGATAATAGGTAAGCAAGGAACTTTTTGTCTTAAACTATGAATCACCATACCAGTATAGGAGATGGCTTTGCAGGAGAGTTCCTGTCCAAGTGATCCATTCGTCCTATGTTAGGAGAGATGCTAGCAACAACAGGAGCACCTGAGACCTGTAAATTCAAAATTAGTGTCAGGAGTCAGGGTCAATCTAAAAACGAGGCTATGAAGCACAAAATAAAAATAGCAGTCAAAAAGTTCTGTAGGAACCTTCATAGAAGAAGCTTCATATTGCGGCCTAAATGCTTCGAAAGGAGGCCGGCTCCCTAATGCGCGTAGAGTTCTGAGTCCATCAGCATTTGCAAGTATCTTAAAACCATTGTCCACAGTAGTAACAACAAGAAGATTGCCTTCTTTATTGAACCTCAAGCGAGGAAGAGCCTGGCATAACGTAAAATGGTTAGATTGACCCCTCCAGAAATAAGGACAAACATGAAAGAGAGCAGAGACTAACTGGGAGGCCTCCTTCAGCGTCTGTGCAGATCAGCATATTATTATTATCAACATCCCAAAATTTAATCTGGTTATCTTCACCAGCAGCCAAAATGTGATTCTGAGCTGTATCAAACTGCACTACACCAGCAACACCAGCTGACTTTTTACGGAATCCAGAATAAGTCCTCTTGATAGATCCTTCACTTTCATTCCACTCAACCAAATATGAGTCTCCCTCTTTGCTCGTTCCACATGAGAACAACCTTCACATGAAAGAAAAGCAAATTGTTTCAATAGTAAAAATTGAAACTAGAACTACTTTTGGTGGTAAAAATAAGAGCCAACCTATCTATTCTTACCTAGTCCCATCAGCACTATATAGCATAGTAGTACACCACTTGCCAGGAGCATCATAGTCCACCCTAGATCCCATATTGTCATAAAGCCAGGCCTTAATTTTTCCGTCAAGGGAAGTTGAGAAGATGAACTGCATCAAACATAAGAAAGTCATGTATTAAACTTGATTTTGACAATGCTGCTGAGTACTGGAAATTGTAACATAATAACATAGAGCTGTCTGAATAAGTGAATAATCCAAAGGATTTTAAATTTAGATAAGATCATTCTTCTATTAATTAAATAGATTAGAATGGAATATCAATTAGAAATTTGATAAAATTGATGATAAACAGTGCGGACAGCTCTTGGACAACTGCTATAGCGAACAAAACAGAGGTACCATAAATACTGCTAAAATTAACATCTGTTCACTTAAAAGTCATCCACATGCAGACCTCCCTCTTTTCCATTTGAATAGGCATATAACTATATTGTATGCCATAATCGTAGTAGAAACTCCATAGCCATAATCCCTAACTTTAAACTAGAGCAAACAACAAAGTAAAACTAGGTATAGAAAAGGCATCAACAGCAAAGATTAGTATCGCATCCAGAATGAAATGTTGATGTGTACATATTACTCAGACAACGCACCTGAATACTCTCTTTGTGATGTGGACATATAGAATACACAGGCGCCTCGTGCCCTTCAAATGTGAATAATTTCTGTCCATGCATATCCCATACCTAAAGAGCGAAAATGAAGTTCAAGGAGACAAGCCATGTAAAAAAGTTTATGAATTTTCCAGACAAGTCACATCTCATACCTTTATCAGTTTATCATCTCCACATGTAACCACACAAAGTTGCTTATTTGGTCGGGAGAATGCTATATCATTCACACCTCCAGAATGAGCCTCAATCTGACATGAAGAAAAAAAATATATAGTAACACAATTTATGTTATATGGCATTTTTAATTATCTATAGGAGTTTGATGCAGTACCTCTAGGACGTGTCGTGTCTCATTTGGTGGTTGATATGCATGTAGATGGATCAAATGTTTCGTGAATGCAACTCCTAAAACCACAAAAATGTAAGTTTAAATGAAAATCATTGCTCAACAGAGTATTACTTAGTTTCTTTTCTCAACCAAATATCAGCTGAAAAGGTACAGTATTGATACTAACCAATCAATTCTCCATCAGGGCTCCAGGTAACTCGATTAATGGATATGGAAAGGTCTTTGGCAACAGCATTCTTTACACAGGAATGGCAAATAATCAGGCTCACAAGATGAAACACACACACATGCTAACAGACAAGGTACAAGTAAATAGATATCAGAAGTAAATCACAGCTAAGACTTCAGCTTGCATTTGAATACCTGAAATTGCGGTGAGCGTGCATTTATGTCCCGAATTTTGAAGGGCTTTGAAAGTAATGTTTCACGCAAACCGATCTCATAAAGTGTAAATTCACCATTGGCAGATCCCACTGTGTAGTAAAACACAGGGTAAGAAAATTAATAAATTGATGTATAGCCAAGTTTAGGATTCACACAGGTTACATGAAACAGTGCATACCACATTTTATAAATAAAGATAATCAAATAACACAGTTATCTTTACCTAGAAGCAGTGTATGGCGAGTTGGATGAAAATCCATGCTAGTTACATTAGATCCATGTGACAATGAACAAGCAACTGTCCTTGGAAGATCATCCACTGACCATGCAGGTTGAGGGATGGGAGCAGGATATGTGGCCTGCATAAGCATGATTGATTATTAAAATTCATACAAAATCCAAAATGTCATATTTTCTAAGTGCAAAACTGCAAATGCAATATTACCTCATCAACGCCATGTCCACCAGGCCTCAAGCGCTTCATTAGTTGCTCTGACTCTGCACTTTGATAGTCTGTTATAGTTGGGCGTTTCAACATGGAGACAGCTGACGAAACAATGTAATATAAATGACGTCATGTGAAGTTTTGAGACATGCACATAATTGACAACATAAATACATTTCCACATGACTACGTACACAACGATTCTAAGCAAAACTGAATGGCCCTTTTTCTGAGCAAAACCTTTACAGGTTAACTGAAAGAGTATAACATTACTAATTAATTGCTGCACCAAATTATCATACTTATTACTATATGGACTGGTATGAAAAACACAAAAACATAAGAATCTGCCGGAACTGTAGAGCAAACAACATTAAACCTACCAAAGAATAGTGTTATTTCACATGTAGAATGGGATTGAAGCCATCAATGCATATCAGCTACATCATGTTTCATCACTGAGTACTTTGTAAATTATAACAAATTAGAAGCATCTAATATATATCTGGAACTGAAGTTTCACATGTGTAATTGTTTCCGGAATGGACTGGTACAAAGTACAAAGGCATACTAAACTACAAATATATGTGTTCAATGTATTAATTGAATTGCACAGAAAATAGAAAATTGTTATAATGTATTAATGCAGATCAAATTAACCACTGTGCGGAACAATATGTTCAAAACAAACAACCAGATGAACTTTAACAGAAATGTAGCACCACACTTGCATACCTTGATTGGGCGGAACAGGTATTGATGATGCTGTTACAACAGCAGACTGAACAGATGAAGAGGCAGCTGCATTCGCCATCCAACCAGCTAAAGATGGACCAGGTGGAGGAGGTTGGAATGGCTGCATAAATAAATGCATAATGTAAAAACAAAAAAAAACATCATAAAAGCCATGCACGAGCAGAAAATGATCAAGCAAACATACAGTATGAGCTGTGAGTGGTGGATATGCGGCACCAGCCTTTGGAACAGCTGCCAGTGGTACAGATACCGGTGATGCACGAGCTCCATTGGGTGGAGCACACGTATGGTCAGTAAATAAAGTCTTGATATCTGGATTTGGACGAGGATTCTTACAAAGCTGATGCTGCCAATTCAAGCTGCACATTTGAGGGGGAAATCATGATCACACTAAATATTGGAATGAAAACAGAATGTCCAGTAATGTAACAACATTAGATTACTTTCAAACCTTTGATTAATTAGAGTTCGGAGGCGTGATGCCTTAAGAGTCGGGAAGACAAGTTTTTCCTGGAAAAGGGGGTTGGCTTCAATAAGTTTTTTTAGCTCAACCAGCATAATACTTCGAGCTGATTTAGTATCCCCATACTTAGACAACTGTTCATTTTCCCTGCAAGAAAACAACATTCATTTGATAATTTGAGCTAAAAATTTAAAACAGAAGCAGCAGGTAGTACTTGGAATAAAACATTGTAAGGTGGTAACAAAATTATATTGTTAAGCAACTAACATTTTTCATAAAAGTATACAGGAAAACACAGCATAACATAAAAGCTATCAAATGAATATCTTAAACAAACCTCTATCATTTGCAAATAAGCATCTGGCAGCTAACAATTTATGCCGTTGCCAGCTTGCACGTCTACTCAGTTAACATATCTGTACCAGCTGCTTGCCATGGCTTCCTAATGGTTCATGATCTATTAGTAAATGTCCTATTTTCATTACCAGTGGAGATACATTAATTGCAATGCACCAAACAGGAGAAGCATTTTGAATGATTATCTCAAAAAATCTAAGGAGTAAGACTGTAAGAAGCTCTAAGAAATATTTATTTTAATTGTTTCTCAACAATCTTATGCCATGGATTGAGATAGCAAAATGAACAAACCTAAAATTCTCAAGAGTGAGAAGCTGTGTTATCTCCTTATATAACTCCTCATTGAATGTTGAGAAGACTTTAAGATCCTTGACAAGAATATCTACGGCCTTTGCTCTATCATGCCTGTTTGGAACATAGAGAAAGAAAAAAAAAGTCAATACAGTTTTACAATTCCCCAAACAATGGATCGAAAACCCAGTCCCTCATTCAAATGAGGTTTGAAATATGAAAGAACAGTACCTATCAAGCGCTTCCAAATACTTCTGCTTCCTGATCTCAAAGAAGATCTTCATGGAATACCTATTGTCATCTACCTTGGTGAAACCTGACAAGTATTTCTCCACCTCATCCCATTCCCCAGCATGAACCTTCTCCTCGAAGTACTTCATATTGAAGAAGAAGCCTGACTCTTGCTCAAGCCTACAACACAATGTGACGTAGGGAATTACTACATATAGAATATCAACCCACATGTAGTTCCATTTCTGGGGGGGAAAGAACGTGGGAAAACATCAGTTGTCAAATTTTGCCACCAATCAACAGAATGAGCACACTAAAGAGCCCACAACTCCAATGGTCAAAACTGAAAAACATCGAATAAGCAGCCAGCCACACTGCAAGATTTGAGCTTGAAAACTTATCCTAAATGGCCAACCAAGTATTGTCAAAGACAAAAAGTCACAAAGTCCAATTCTGACTAACCAACCGTGTGTTTTCCTCAATGCAAAAATTTGGAGCGAACAGAACAGAGTGCAACAGCACGTCCTACAAGTTCCAATTATCTGGTTGAAATGACGCAATCCAGCTAAATTACCTTCTGGTGCGTCGTTTACTGAGTATTACCCTCAAGACACGACAAGGAGACCAAAGCGCAAGTACACCAATCAGAGTGTTAATTAATTAAATTAATTCATGAGCTTCACTTGTTTCGACAAAATTAAGTAACCGAGAAGACGGAAAAAAGCACGCGATTGGTGTAGTAACCCACATGCAAGCTCCATATTCTAAATGGGCCCCTCAAATTTTCCGGAATAAAAGAAAAGCTGAAACCCCTAAAATCGATTTTGACCGGATTAAATAAAAACAACGACTACAAATGAGAAAACCACGAGGGAATAAAATGTCTTTTGACCAAAATAGCCCCAAACTTTATATGCTATTACACAGTTCATAGCAAATCAAAAAAAGCCTTAGAATTTTTTTCCAGCAACTCGTCGAAGCCCAGAACCAGAGGAGAAGAAACTGAAAAAAAACAGAGCCGCGTCTGGCCGAATTTTACGACAAAAAAGCGGAAACAGGCTGCGCGACAAATCAAATCCCCTAAAGCGTAGAAGAGTACGCAGGTAACCAACGCAAGGAGAGAGGGGAGTACGCACTTATGCACGGTCTCTTTGAACTTCTCCTCGTCGAGGAACTGGAGGATGAGGAAGACGAGCTCGCGGCTGAGCGACGACATGGCGGCGGCGGCGGCGGCAACCCGCCCGGTGCTCGATCCGCGCGCCCGGGAGCTTGGCCGGCGGCCCCGAGTCCGGAGGGCGCGGTCCTGGTGGCTCGGCCGCCCAGGCGGGCGCGAATCCTAGGGTTCCGTCGTCGGCCCCCTCTCGGCTCTCTCGCGAGCGAAGCGGAGGCGAGAGAGAAGCGGAGATGTGGAAGAGGGTTGGGTTGGGGGGAGAGAGAAACTTTAGTCTCGCTTTCTTCGATGCGTTGCAGACCTCTCGCCCTTTTCTCTCTCCCCACGCCACCCACCACTGGGCTTATCTGTGAGAAGCCAGTGGCCTTATTGATAAGCGCATTTGCTTATCGATAGGTGCAGTTACGTATGTGATAGGTCGGGAGCGGCGGAATCGAAGGGGCCGGGATTAAATCGGATGGATATTCGTGAGCTGGCGTCCGGTCGTGAGGGCGACGTGCGCGCGAGACGGTAGAGATCGCGCGACGCAGGGCGGGCGGTTCGGCTCGATCTCGATCGGGGGTTGTTTGCCGCCGCGCGAGACGAGACGAGACTGGCGGCTTCCATTTCCTACGCGTGGTTGCTTCGGACCGGGGAAGGCGGTTCGCATCCGTCGCGCGGTTTCTCGGATCAGCGGCGTTCCAGTGGGAAAGCAAACAGTGGCGCACGGCACCGACTGGAGGAGGGGACTGGGCCAGGGTCACGTGTCCTCGGATTAATGGGCAATCCTCTGCCAGCCGCCTCGCATTTACGAGGCTTTTGAGGTGGAGGCTTTTGCCGGATGTAATTATAGCACGGTATCACACATTTTAGTATTTTAAATTTAATCAATTATAAATAAAAATATTACTAATATTTATGATATTAAATATGAATACTATTATTAAAAACTTGATCAGATGTGAATCACTTTAATTGACACGTAACCCATAATTATATTATTTGCTTTGACCGAGGGAGTACTACCAACGTAGTGCCAAAATAAAACATATGTCTTGCTTTTCGAGAGAACCAAACCATTTAAAGTTTAATAACTAAATATGTAATAATATTTATGACTTATAATAAGTATTATTAGATTAAGTATATAATATATATTTTTATAATAAATTTATTTAGAGATACATAAATTAATACTAGATATTTTTGGTTAAAATTAAAAATATTTAATTCCTTGGGAAGCGAGATATGTGTTTATTTTACTGAAAGAGTACTCCTTATATTTTGAGAAGTCAAACAATTAAAACTTTAACTAAATCTATATCAAAACATATTAATATTAGTGATACTAGATAAGCATCATTAGATTATTACGTTACATATTTTTATAGTAAACATATTTGGAGATACAAATATTAGTATTATTTTCTATAAATCTAATCAGAGTTGACATTGGTTGACTCCTCGAAATACGAGTTGAGAGTTATTTGGTGCAGCTCTAGTTTCGAGATCTATGCTAGATCTATAGTTTGCAAATTAAATTGAGGTAGTTTGGATATTTTTATTTGATCTAAAACATAAACAGAATGAGTCATGTAAATGTACTTAACATATCTGCAGTTTAGATCCAGGATTTTCTAGAGCTACAACCTATAGGTGACCAGTTCTAGGAAATCTATGACTAGAGCTATGTCAAACATTGCCTATAAGGATAGGTTATAGACTTGCGCGAGTCAAAGACCGATGCTTTTTGTTCCTATTTTTCCCCCTCTCATTCTATGGTAATAACAATTTTGAAGTTTAGATATTTATTCGACGATGACGTTATCTGTTTTAATATATTTCATTGAGAATCACTTTATATTGTTATTGAATATATGTCGTTCTAACTCGTATACTTAACTAGTGTCGTAAATCCATTTTAATTGTGTTTGTGTTTTCCATATGAAGCTGTGGATATATATGTTCTTACATTATGAATCGGTAGTCCTAGTTATATAGATTTGAATAAAGTACTTAGATCAGCTAACTGGACCTAATTAATTGCGCTATGATAGTGTTTAATTTTGCTTGGGAGCACATAGTTACACGCCAAAATATAATCATGTAATTTGATTATATATGTGTTTCTTCAATGTGATCCTAGATTGCTTGCATTGCAATTAATCTCCGTTAACTACATATGCAGAGGCTTCCTTTGACAATTTAACTAGTTGTACTCCGCATTTCTTTTTCCCCGGTACATAGGGAGAGGCGGTAGAGAATTTTCGACTGATGTAGTAGTAGTAGAGTATAGGGACAGCCATCATCATGTTACCGTTTTCAGCATCCTACCAAGTAATTTTGATAGCAGTGTGGCAGTAGTACATAGTGTCGGAACGTTTGGGCAGACACGTAAAGTTATTTTGATCTCGAAGATTAGCTTGGGTTTGTTTGGCTGATAAGCCATGGCTGAAAGTATTGTTGGCTGATTTGGTGTGAAAAAAAATATTATTTGTTGGCTGAAAAAATACGGCTTATAAACAAACAAGTCCAAGCAAACAGGGCGTAAATTATTTATATTAACCATGCACTGCAAGTAAGGTAAGGAGATGCTTCCTCGGCAAGTTGCAAGCCCGTGCGCGGGTGTACCAGAGCACCGAGCACCCAATCCGAAAAGGCAACGCCCACATGTTTTCCCTGCGCTGGCTGCTGAACGACGCCCACAAAGCGTCGCCAATTCAAGAAAGGAAGGGTAAGGTGAGCTAACCCTCATCTCCTCGTCGTCCCTCTCGTGTCGCGTCGCGTCGCGTCTACTGAAAATCTCGCGCGCGGACGAGCCACGCGAGCCAGCAGGGGAGGAGGAAACCCGCGCGCGGCATTGCGTTGGCGTCTCGCCGTCCGCGGCAGGCGGGCACGACACGAGAAGGAGACGCGGACCAGGAATAGCGAGCGAGAGCGAGGCCGACAGCGACGGGTCTCTGGCGCCCACTCCGGGGCCAGCCGTGTCGGTCTCTGGACGGGTGGTGCTGGATCTCTCTAGAAACCACGGGGCCCGGCACCGGGGATATCTCGCGGGACGCACGCGAGCCGGAACCGACGCGTTTGGACATATCGTGGTGCTCTCTCGCTGCGCGCGCGGCGAGAGGAGGGGAGGACTGAGGAGACAGGACGGAGAGAGAGAGGGTCCGTTACGTGTTCGTGCTCGCGGAAAAACCCACATTTGTTGAAATAAAAAAAAGACTCTCGGTTCGGGTGGTGAAGTGGACGGGAGATGGAGTGATCGACACGACAGGACCGGAGCAGCAGCGCCCCCTGGCCAGTAGTGGTAGGGGTCTGGATCTGGCTGTGGCTGCCCTGGCTGGAGTTGAACGGGCGGAGACGACGGCCCTGGCCTGGCCACCGTAGAAGAGCGAGAGAGAAAAGCAGGGCGGGGAGGGGCACGGGCGGACCGCGGACGACGGAGGCAAAGGCAACCGTGTCACGCGCGTGAAGGAGATTCCTTTTGGACGTCCGACAAGAGCTGCAGCTGCCGCGGGGAGGGTGCAGTCACCTGCGGTGAGCTTTGAGCGGGACATCCAACTCGCCGATCGGAGCCCTTGGATTTTATTGCGCTTGCGGGGCAGACGTACTGTAATTGACAGCAGGTGACGTGTCTCGTAATTGATTCAGGGGGGGGCGGGCAGTCCGTCGCAGTCGTGCTGCGCGGTGCAGTTCAGCGGGTAATGGAGCTGGGCATTGTTCAGTAATCACCTCCAAATTCCAAGTTTTCCTTTTTCATCACATCATGATTTTCGCACGTATGCTGCGCATTAAATGTAAAAAAAACTAATTACATAGTTTTGTTGTAAATCACGAGCGGATCTTTTAAGCTAGTCTATAATGGATTGCGTTCGCAAAAAATTTACAAAAGCAACGTCAGTACGTTCGCTGCAACCAGTACTCTGCACTGGCAGCGGCTGTTTGTAGGGTACAGTACAATAATACCACATTAGTAGTAGCAGCCACCAAAGCGTCATGTAGTGCGTGTTTGATTACACGCCACAGCGGGCCACGCCACAACAAACGACAGCCACAAATATCCATTGTGTTGTTTAGTTCGTAACTAGGTTGTGGCCGCCGCAACTTCCGCAGTTCAGTTTTTTGCCGAACCTTAGGCGACAGTTTTCTCCACCACAACTTCGACAGTTTTCTCCACCACAACTTAGACATATTGCTACATATCGAGCCAGTTCGGCTCGGCTCGGTTCAGCTCGAGCTGGCTCGTTAGACTAACGAGTCAGTTCGGCTTGGCTCGTTAATATTATGAGCTAAAGGGGCGGTTTAGCTCGGCTCGTTACCAAACTCGAGCTGGCTGTTGAGCTATAAAAAATAGGACACACATGTTTATAACGTTCATGCAACAATAATTTCAGAAGGTGACGTCCACCATTATGCAACCATACATGATTAATACATATCAGGTTCATCAAAAGTATCAACCATGCAACATAGCTGGTCCATCCACGATCCATGCAGTTCTAGCATACTTACTGGTTGCTTGCCACCACAGGCTTAGGAAAGTTGAAAGGTCGAGATGGCGGACTAGAGGAGGGGTGAATAGTCTTTTCTAAAAATAATCGCGTCGGCTAACCGATATAAATGCGGAATTAAAATAATCGGTCTAGCCAAGACTACACCCCTCTATATATGTTCACTAGCACCTTGCAAAGATACTAATAAAGCAACTAAGGTGCCGGGCTAGCTAGAGCTCTCCTAAACAATTCTAGGAGCAAGGTCACACAAACCTATGCCACTAGTACTTTAAGTAATAAGGGAGCTCATACACATGCTAGCAAGCAAAAGCACAAAGCTAACTAAGCTCACTAGCAATGCTCAATAACAAGGCAACCAACGCCTAATTAGAGAGCGCAAATACTTAGCTACACAAACTAAGCAATGTGACTAACAAGGTTACTAAAACCAAATTAGTCACGCAAGGGAGCTACTTCTATGCTACACAAGTAAGAAGGTAATTAGCTAGCTACACAAGCTATCTAATTACAAGAGCAACTACACAAGCTTAAGATATATATATAAGTAATTGC